TTTGGCTTACAGCTGGCCAATGTACCTCATATCTTAGTAATTCTCTTCATTTGTTTCCCTGACACCCACCGTGGGGCCAACCACACTAATTCCAGTCCTTTGGATTCCATTCATGTCCTCTCCTTGCTACTTAACTTTCTCCCTGCTGCTTTCTACAATTCCCCCTGCCCTTCTTTCTATTGCAAATTTTGATCCACTCCCTGTCTCCTGTCCCAATGGGGCCCACTCCCAATGCACCTGTGTTCTCACATGCTGTGGCTCAGTGGTTTCCTTTATCCCTAGTATTATGTCCCGATAGCACTGCTGTTGCTGCCATAAATAAGGTTGCTGGATGTTTCTAGACCTGAGCAGCACACTACATTCCAGTCTAGGGTATTGTCACATTGCACCTCAGAAATTCAGGCTGTGACCTAATATGCTGACTGATTATGAGTAGTTCAGTCATGGCCTCCTTAGGTGGCATTGTGCTGTTGCATGTGCGGCCTCATGCAAGTAAATTAGAATAGTTATTTATTATTATTCTTAATCCCACTTTTACTTCAAGGAGCACAGAGTGACATGTATCAGCCTCCCTTCTTCATTTTATCCTTACGCCAACCGTGTGAGGTAGACTAGGCTGAGAAAGAGTGACTGGCCCAAGGTCACCTAGCAAACTTCATGGCACAGTGGGGATTTGTCCGACACTTTACCACTGCGCCCTGCTGACCACAGGAGCATCATCTGAATTCCTCTCTAGTGGTCAACATGTTACGTAGCAGTTACAAGTCAGCTTGGTTCAGGTGGCTCTGTTGTTCTTATTTGTAACCTACTTTTTAAGCAACTGTGAAATTATGTATTCTCTTCACCCTTCCCATATGCATTGCTGTGCTTGGCTGCAGTCATTTTTTTCCTGGCACTTAGCTGCACTAAGGTCTAAAAACAGTATGTGGGTTGGATTGTGTAAAGAAATCAATATAGGGAAGTGTGTGCGCACGCAGTTTCCAGATTCTCTCTCCCTGACTCACTCACAATGATGCTCTCTGCTGGGTGGAGAAGGGCAGCTAAACATTGAGGATGTATATAACCAAGTCATGCCCATTTGTAAAGGGCGGAGCTGCTCCAGAGAGAATTACGGATAGTGACTCATTTTGCTGGTTTGGGAGTCACTCATGCTTCCCAGGTATGTGCTTTATGGCCACCTATTTCCAGTCACGAGGGAAATGAAGTTTGTGAGCAGAGGTTTAATTCTGAGTCATTTAGGAAGGTTAAGGCTAGGACTCAAGAAGATGAAGCAACTCAGTTTCAAGAAGACTCCTGTAATCCTCTCTAGATGTTTAAGTTCAGGATACAGAGTTGGAGTCATCATTCTGTACATCCCCAGTCCTTCAAATGTAGAACAGAAAGACCAATTCACAAAAAGGGCTAAAGAGAAATTTTGCCAAAACCAGCTTCTTGTCTAGGTCTGGATGTCCTTGACATTTCCCAACATTTAGATCTTGATGGCAGAATTAAAAATTATCCAAGAGACAGAATTTTGGACTCATAACTAAAGGTCAACTTTCATCACCAGTGTTTCAAGATGGGTAGCCATGTTAGTCTGTCTGTAGTAGTAGAAAAGAATAAGAATCTAGTAGTGAGTCACGAAAGCTCATACCCTACCACAAATTTTGCTAGTCTTTAAGGTACTGCTGGACTCTTACTCTTTTCTACTGTACCAGTGTTTCAGTAGCTGAAGTTCAGGTTTTACAACTACAATAGTAGGGATGCAATCCTAAACACACTTAGTAGGAAGTAAGTTGTATTAAACTCAATGGAATTTACTTCTGAGTATACAACCATGCTCAAGATTGCACTGTGAATTCTTCAGTGTCCATTGTCTGTAATCAGGGGTCATTTCGTAGAAAAAGAGCTAGGGGAACTCATTAGCATAACTCATTAGCATATGCCACACCCCCTGACATCAGGGCCCCGGCGGTGGACCTGCAAGGCCAGCGGGAGTGCGAGGAAGCCCTGCCAAGGCCCTCCCTGGCCCCAGGCAGGCAGGGGTGGGGAGAGGCGGGGAGGAAGCAACTTACCCTCCCTCTTCTCCTGCCTCCTCCTGGCTGAATGAGGGCTGGAAGCGGGGTGGCCGGAAGCAGGGGGCGGGGCTTTGTCATGTGCCCCGCCCCCTGCACCTCACCCGGGGGAACTGCGTTCCCCCGCGTTCCCCCCCGAAATGACCTCTGTCTGTAATATTGTTTCAGGCTTGGGGATGATTCATATGAAACATTTTTATGGGAGGAGATAATGGATCCATTAATCTGATCAGCTTTGCTTTGTAGTTTACTTAGGATATAATTTGTTACCAAATTTGGAGTTAGGAACAAATTCTCCCTCAGGTCAGATTGGGAATGCTGGAGCTCGGGTGGGAAGGTACCGTCTGGATGTTAGGAAAAACTTTTTTACGGTAAGAGTTGTGCAACAATACAATCAGCTGCCTAGGGAGGTGGTGAGCTCCCCTTCACTGGCAGTCTTTAAGCAGCGGCTGGCCAAACACTTGTCAGGGATGCTCTAGGCTGCTCCTGCATTGAGCAGGAGGTTGGACTAGATGGCCTGTATGGCCCCTTCCAACTCTAATTCTATGAGCTATCTGGATTTTGATTATTTCTTATCCTGTGGTTCTGTGGTCTACCACAACAGCATTTTTTTTTAACTTTTCACATTCAGGGAGCCTTTTCCACATCTGGTTAGATAATAGTATGCATTGCAGATGACCGGGGCATTTGCCTGGTACCTGTTTTATTATCTTTCAAGTGGCAGATTAGAGTGATTTTATTTTCTAGTTGTTTAGGTTTTTATAGGACATATCCTGTTTATAATGTTGATGGTGATGATTTTAGCACGTTCTAATGGTTGTTACTGGCATTCTTGGAGGCTTGTAGGTTGAAAACTGGAACATATTTTTTTAAAAAATCAATCAATCAGCTTCCCAAGGAAACACAGGGTTCCCCAGAACAGTTTGAAAACCACTGATCTACAGTCATGGAGATAGGCTCACAGCATGTCTGCCACAAATATGATAAATGCGTGGTAGGTCCTTCCAAGGTCCATTCTTACTATCCCCCAGTGTGTAGACTGTCCATGTAGTGGGGAACAGTAGCAAATCTGGAGCTTGTGTCCCTTCCCCATCAGTGACTGGCAACCAAGAAACTCCTTTTCCCCTTTAAATTGGCCAGTAGAGCCAGAGGCAGGATTTGGCCACTTGCCCAGTACTGACAGAGCTTCCCCCTGCCTGGACTGCTGCTTCAGTAATGCACCTTGTCTCTCCCCCCCCCCACCAGCTGCTGCCAAACAGCTGAGTACTCCCTCTAGTCCTTCACATCATGGCTGCATCAACAGCTTTGGGGGAAGAGTCTCTGGATTGTCAGTGTGACAATTCTACCTACTGTGCACAGTACATCTACTGTTGGGGCATATGTGTATCTATGGCTAAGTGAACTGGCACTACCCATACAGTCCATCCACTGAGGAAAATGCCAGACCCATGTGTTTCAGTACTGCTGAGTCACGGCAGTCCTTTTCGTGGTGGTAACCTTACTGCTTTCATGGGTTTCCTGTTGATTTCAATAGGATTTCAGTGTTGGTTACAATGGGAGCACAAGACTTTATTGAGTGTGGGGGTTGCACCATTGGCCTTCTGTCTGCGTTTATAGGCATGGCCAGATGGAATGGGAAAGGTGACTAAATCTTTCCCCCTTCCTTATTTATTGCCCTTTCTAAATCAATAGTGCAGAGAAAGAAAGAGAAGTCAGAAATAAGATTGTAGAATCTGATTCCTTTGTGAAATCTAAATAGTCTTATCTAAGGCAGGTCCCCAAAGAATGCGTGCCATGATGTAACTAAAGGGCTTTGTGTAAACTCCTCTGTCCACACCCTCCCTTCTCCTACTGCACCAGACTATTCTAGGTTGTAAGCTTGTGGGCAGAAAATTATCTCCTTATAAAATATGTTCTACAATGCCAGTTAATTTTAGGCACTTCATAAATAAAATATGGTGCCAATATGGAGGCTTTTAAAATGGGTTTAATTTAGTCGAATTTCACAGGATTTTATGTCTTTTCTTCTAGAGAGCATTTATTTTTGACATATTATAAACCCACTGTGAGCCTTTGAGGAAAAACCCCTGCTAGTTAGATAGAATCATTAGCTCTGATTCATGTTGTATGTCATATCTGGATGCCTCAGATGTGGCTGAGCAGCTATCCCCATGTCCAAAGAGGTATCCAACCAGTGGAACCTGGATGAATATCACAATGTGGATGGCAACATACAAACACACACACACACCCTTATCAGCTGTACAATGCTCATGGATGTCTACTTTTGTATGCAGATTCCTGGAACAGGGCAATTATCTCTAAACATTTTCTAGATGATGGATTGTCTTGTAGAAATCCTGTCTATGTTTCATAGACAATGTACCACCAAAGTTTCCAGTTCTAGTCTGGGATACTAGATCATCACAAAGGCAGTTCCCTTCCCCGTTCTGTTTCTACATCTTTCAAAGGCATTGCTCAAATCACAGTTTGAAACTAGTTTTTCCCACTGAAGGTAACCACTGAACATGTAGCTCCTCAGACTGATAAAGATTGGCAGCATCTATTACTGTGAAGTAATATACAGTTGTGTATAATCAGTGGTGCAGGCTGCCCGTTTGCTTCCTCGTCTTAATAGAGCCAGTGGCAATTTGCAACTCAACAAGTTAGTTTAAAACTCTGCAGTCTTAAAGGATGCAGCCAGATGTACTCACTACTCAGTTACTAACTCATCGCTAGCCTGGAGCTGTCTTCCTTTGGTGGTGCTGGATTCTAGAGGGGCAGTCACTGAAAACACCAAGCTGGAGGTTGGTAGGAAAAAAAATCAATATAGGTAAATTAAGATTCCGATTTACATACACTAACTTACAGCTGTATACAGTCAATCCACTAAAACATTTAAATTGGTCAACAGCTTTAATGTATTTCTCTTTACTTGTTTTCCAGATCAATCTACACGCTGAAAACTAATGCCGTTTAGTTGATGGTGCTGGGGCTTTGATTCTCCCTCTGAGTTCCTATCCATTTTTCCTCCATTGCTTTGTTTCTTACTGTAAGTTGAGAACGTCCTCCAGGGTTCAGCCATGACTACGTCTGCCTTGCGTCGGCAGGTAAAAAACATTGTGCACAATTATTCTGAGGCCGAAATCAAGGTGCGTGAGGCCACTTCCAATGATCCCTGGGGGCCTCCTAGTTCCTTAATGTCTGAGATTGCAGACTTGACCTTCAACACAGTGGCATTTGCAGAGGTCATGGGTATGATCTGGAGGCGGCTGAATGATAGCGGCAAGAACTGGCGTCACGTCTACAAGGCATTGACTCTTCTGGACTACCTCATCAAAACAGGCTCAGAGAAAGTGGCTCATCAGTGCCGGGAGAACTTGTACACCATTCAGACTCTAAAGGAGTTCCAATACATAGACCGTGATGGCAAGGACCAGGGCATAAATGTTCGGGAGAAGGTCAAGCAGGTTATGAGCCTGCTGAAGGATGAGGAGAGACTGAAGCAGGAGAGAACTTATGCCCTGAAAACCAAGGAGCGGATGTCTCTTGAGGGCATGGGCATCAGCAGCAGCAACAGCCAGCAGCTTTCCTATGGACGACGAGCTTCACAGTATGGCGATGACTATGGAAGGTCAAGAGGTTCTCCATCCTCCTTCAACTGTGAGTATTGCAGCGTGACAGAATACGGGTGGATGTAATGGTTCCATGCATGCAACAGTATTTCTCACCAGCAAGTTTGCCAATGGAGGTCTGGGTGCAACTCACATATCATATGTGAATGTTCTTGATTTCCTCTGAGGGGACCCTGAAGTACATAGTCCTAGAATAGAATAGCACAAAAAACAACAACACCAAGAACATTTTAATTTCAAGGGTATAATAAATGCATATGGTATTTTCAGTTCCAATGCAAACAAAAATTATTGCAGGACATATTTTTTGTTGCTCTGTTTTTTTGCAAAATAGAGATTGAGGAAGGAAGGGTAGGACTTTGGGAACATTTGGTGGCAAACAGGTGCAGGTGGGTGGAACAGGCAGGGGCCAGAATGGGTCTACAGAGGCACACTGTGACCTGTGCTGAGTGCAGAAGCTCTTCTGTGTCCCTCCATATCCCTCCTCCTTCACTTGTGGTGATTGCATGTGCACATTTTAAAGCTCTGTCTACATACCCTGGCTAGTGGCTGCTGTGTATATAGTCCTAGTTCTAAAAATGTGTGCAGTCACCAGGAAATGACACGGGAGGGAAAGGGTTTAATCCCCCTCTGCCCTACCACCATGGCCCCTTTCTAAATCACACTCACCTTATGCCTGCTTTTTAAGATTAATGCAAACATTGGGAAATCACAAATTAATGTGCAATTTGGCCCTCAGTCTCACAGTTCTCTCTAATTTGTTTTCACTCTGTGTCTTTGCATCATTATTAATTGATAGGGAAACAGCGTGTTCCGAAGAATGTGTTACAATTAGAACAAATGCTGATGTGATCATAAAACACCAAGGGCATGTTTATCTTAGAGGATTCCAGTCCTTGGAATCTTTGCTAGCTGCTGAAGTTGTGACTTGAGTTTTTAGATTCAAAATGTTCATTTTGTTTTCTTATTGGCATATTCACACTGCAAACATGTATCAGTTTTATATGAATTTTGCCTGCCATCCCCAAATCCTGGGTATTGCAGTTTGATGGGATATTCAGCATTCTCTGTTTAAAAAGACACATCATAGCCAGTGTTCCCTCTAAGCTGAGTGAGTGTGAGCTAGCTCACAGTTTTTTAGCCTCCGGCTCACAGATTTTTGTCTTCGCTCAGGAAGGATGGCTCCAGAGCAAACTAATTTATGCAGTAGTCAAATCGCTCGCTCACAACTTCCATGCCAGTAGCTCACAAAGTAGAATTTTTGCTCACAAGACTCCAGAGCTTAGAGGGAACATTGATCATAGCTCTGTCTGTCTGTCTGTCTACCTACCCATTTTTATCTTTACCTCCAGTGAGCTCAGGGTGACATATGTAGATCTTTCTCAAAACGAATAAGTATGAGAGAGAATGATTATCCTAAAGTAGTCTAGTCAGCTTTTTGAAGTAAGTGAAGATCTAAACTTCATTCTCCCATGCCATAGTCCTACATTTTAACTAATTCAGAAACTTCCAATTGGTATAAAATGCAACAGCCTAGTTTTTGATTGGAGCAAACTGACACGTGAACACGTAACACTTGTTTTTCAGCACCTGCATAGGCTACTTACTTGTTACCGGGCTCAATTTAAGTTGCTAATTTTTACCACTAAAGCCCCTTCATGAGTTGGGATCCATGTACCTAAAAGACAGTCTCTTCCAAGTCTGTACCCTTGTGATATCTGCATTTCACTCAATAGCTTTTACTGGCTGTTCCATCTCTCAGGGCTGCAAGGCCTGCTTTGGCTTATCCTTGGCCTTTTTGATAGTAGCCCCTGTTCTTCCAAACAGTTTTCCTTAAGAGGTCAGAAAATCATCTTCCCTTGGAGCTTTCAGGAGGTCTTACAAAACACCATTATTTTGAAGGGACTTGGGTGGAGTATATGTAGAGACTGGTTTTGGAATGCAGGGCCTGTTCTGGTTTGTGATGTTTTATTTGTGTATACAGTTCTAAAGTTATTTTTAAAATTGTCTTGGTTATTGCTCATATACCTGTTAGTTTATATTATGCAAGCTTCCTTCAGGCTCTTGCGTGAAGGAAAAATGGGATATAAATATTTAAATAAATGAATATATAAATAACTATGATACCACACTGGGCAGAGGAAATTATTTTTAAGCCTAAAATTGTAGGGTATCGGATCAAATCAACACACAAAAGATAGGCTGAAGAAGAATGGGAATAGCCACTGATAAAAGGGGGTGCCCTTCTAGCAAAATATCACATTCAGAAACTGTTGCATCTGTCTGTCTGTCTTCTCCAAGGACCTCAAGCATACCTGGTTCTGCCCTGCTACACTGTGTTCCCTGTCTTTATTTTATCCTCATAAAAGACCTGTGAGGCAGATTAGGCTGAGAGAGAGCAACTGGCTTCCTGACTGAATCGGAATTTGAACCAAGCGGGCTGACTGCCGTTTAAATTGCTTTCCCCTTTATACCTCAGCCTCTTCCTCGTCTCCTCGGTTCAGTTCTGACCTGGAACAGGCAAGACCACAGACTACAGGAGAAGAGGAGCTTCAACTGCAGCTTGCCCTGGCCATGAGTCGAGAAGAAGCAGAGAAGGTAATGTTGGGGTGTTTCTCCTTTCCTGGGGGAACAGCATAGTCCATCACGTCTGACTGAGATTTCTGAATGCTTTCAATGCCAGTATTGCTTGGTATGGTCTTGGTTTCTTATTGGCTGCTCCACACAAGCCTCAACAGTTTAGGAGACCATGATGTGGGTGGCATCTACATGTGAATGCAAAAAGGCACCTCTGGTGGCAAGTGGGATGGGAATAGGCAGAAATGGCATCCACATGCCTCATTCTTGCTCTACTCACTGTTCCCACTTCCTCAGTAAACGAAACTAAACTGAACTGAACTGAACTTCCCCACTCTCACTCCTCCCCCTTTTCTCTGTCATGTATGTACACAAGCACAGATGCAGCTGTATTTGCAGTGGCACCCCACAGCAACCCCCTCCCCCGCTTTCCCCCTTTGTAAGGCTACAGCATAGTTCAGGGAGAGGAAACCCCTTTAAAGGGCCAAAGTGGGAGCATGTCATCCAGGAGCAAACAGCCCAGCACAATTTTGAAAGTGTATCTTAGCTCCTCCCTTCCAGTAGTGGCTGTGGTCGGAATATCCAAATGGATGCCCCCCCTGCAGCCACAACATAATTTCCCCTTTGAATGGGAGAAAATGAATTTTTTATTTTCTCTTGCTCAAAGGAGAAAACAACAGGAACCAATGAATCATGCCCAGATTGGCCACAACACAGTGTGGGTGCTCCTCTTTACTGCAGGGGCCTCTCGCCACCCATGCAAAGAAAGATCCCTGTGTGGATGCAGCCAGGATAGCTATGTATTGCTTTGTAGGTTTAGCTTTAATGGACTGTATGTACAAGTGAACCTATGACCGTAGGTTGGTAAACTAGTGTGAGTCAAATCCATAAGACAGAATTCTATAGACATAGCAACAGTGCACATGAATTATTCCTTCTTAATAGCTTTCTCAACAACAAACATCCCTTAGACTCATCTTTAAGAAAAATAATTGAATCCAGTTTGAGATACATATTCAGGACTTTGTTTTTGAAGGCTTCTGGAAGACTAAACTGGTGTGTGTGAGAGAGAGAGAAAGGGAGGGAGGGAGGCAGAGGAGACACAGACATACCTGGGAGTAACACATATATAGCCTCCGTATACAGAAGCAGCAGACTTCTGAATCCCAGTGTTGGGAGACAACAGAAAGGGAGGGTCTTGGTCTCTGTGCCCCATTTGTTTGGTCCTGCAGGGAAGCTGGTTGGCCGCTGTGTGAAATAGGGTGTTGGGCTACATGGACCCCTAGTCTGATCCAGCAGGCTAAACCTGTGTTCTTAGGTATAGAAATAAATGCCATTGTCGTGATCAATGCTGAGAGGATTGTACCCCTGGATTTATATGTAGGATTCTATTATTTTAGCTTTTAATTCTTTGGTATGTACCCAGAATTCTTTTGTTGATTTTGTAGCAGCTAAGGAAGACTCTATTTTCCCTAGGCAGTGTGAGTAATAGGACTGAACATGTCCAAAAGAATCCATAAATGGATGCTAGTTGCATGATCCTGTTACATTTTCATGAGTGCATCCTAAAGACACTACTGGATGTATCATATGAGGAAAGAATATACAGGCACATTCACATCTTGCACGTGTATCTTAATATTTGGGTATCTGTGGAAGATGACTCTTGATTTTTAATGAATAATTGGGGTTCTACCCCATCTCTGCACTACCAACCAAATGCAGAAACATTTCTCCATTAATCTGTTGTTTTTTCTTTTATTGTTTGAGTTTACAGAAATTCCCTTTCAATCTGCTTCTATTGCACACACAATTTGTCTGCACAAGCTTTTCATTGTGCATTACCAGAAGCACCGGCTGCTAAATGTGAAAGTGATGTCACATTTGGTTGACTGCACTTGAACATCTGAAGCTACTTTGGGGGTTGCTTACTCGACAACAATTTCCAGAGATGCAGAACAGTAGTCATGTCCTTTTTGTCTGCACCAGAACTTCCTATCAGCAGATCTGCTTCTCCCTTTGCAGGTAGTTCTAGTGTTTGTTTACACACAGAAACACAACCTGAGATTCTCTGACTGCCATTCTTGTCACAAAGGAGGTTGGTGACACTGGAGAGTAGGGTTGCCAAGTGGATTTTCGCCGGGAGCGGGGGGCTCCTGGCCGGTGTCTGTTGCGCGCGCGTGCACCGCATGCACGTCACCCAGAAGTGACGTGACGACGCCAGGCACGCTGGGGGCGGGGCCACAACCATACGAGGGAAAACCATAGAGTTTCCCCTCGGATGGCCGTGGCCTCACCCCCAGCGTGCCCGACATGGTCGCGTCACTTCCGGGTGATGCGCACGTCGGGGAGGAGTTCCCCCCGGGGCCCCATCCGGCAGCGGCGGGGAACGGGCCTCTGGGGTGGGGGTTTCCCCGCCCCCCGGGGGGACTTGGGAAGCCTACTGGAGAGGCTGTAAAGGAAAGAGAGCTCCAGCCTCGAAATGGCGGTTCAAGGACTTATAGGTTTCCATCCCATGGCTTACTTATTTTGGTTCAGGTTTAACTGGAAGCATCTCACTAGTATATTCTTTCTTAGATTAACATAAAATATATAGTGTTGTACACCAAGGATACAGATATTGATGAAACCAGATCCTACCTTAATCCCTGGAGGAGCTGAATTATAATTTCCACAGGTGGCTCACTTTGATCATCTTATCTTTGGAAGCGGAGGGGTTGAAGGCAAACCCTGTAAATTAGCCTGGGTTGCCTGCACCACTAAGGTGTATAACAGGACATTATACCTCTAGTATGATATTCCTCTGAATGCGCTCTCAGAGGCATCTGTACTGTAGTCTGCCCTAAAACATAACACTTACTCTGATTTTTACATATTTTAAAATGAAGACATCAAATGGGTAACACACCCTCTATTGCTTTTCATTTTAACATAATGCACTTCTCTGTGGCCTTTGATTGATATATAGCCCATGTCTGCTTGCTTAGAGGGAAAGCTTTTATACATTACCTGAAAGTCAAGAGGAGCTGTGGGAGACATTTGTCAGTGTCAGAATCCCAGCTGTCTGTCCACATTGGTTCTTGAAAAGTTGGGAAACTTTTGCTGTGTCAATAAGGCATTATGGGAAAGAAATTCCTTGAGAAGCCCAGAGATCACCCCCAAAGGTAAAAAGAAACCAAAACACAGGATGAAGACAAACAGACTTTGTTAAAGTGACTTTAATACACATTTGCCACATTCTGATGCATTTGTTGTCATGGCAGCAAATTCAGAGCATGGTTCCACCATACTTAGAATGTCTGACTATCTCCACCCATAGTTATTTAAGCGTTTATGTCTGTGTGGCAGGGTCTTCAATCTGCAGTGTTGATTGGTGAGTCATCTACCCAATTATTCATTAAATTCATCTACGAAGACTCAGCAAGAGTCTTAGGAGGAAGCTTATCAAGGTATTAACTAGATGGGAGCACCAGCTCAGAGATAAAACCTGGAACATTAAAAAGCTGGAATGCAAAGAAAATGAAGCAGGAAGAGAAAGAGAAAAAATGATTATTAAGAGTTGGTTTATGGACTCTTGAGTACAGAGAAATAGATTTATGAAATTGCATTTTTAGTAAGCAGTGCTATTAAATTAATTGAAGAAAAGGAGGCGTGATTATTCATCTCCTATTCATACATCAAATTCATTGCATTGACTAGGCAAATGATCATAGCTGGTCTGCAAGGTTTGTGGCACGGTCATTCTCTAAAGTGGTAATCTGTCCTTAAACCAAAGTATTTAGTATTGTTAAGGCAAGCCACATTCTAGGGTGGAAGAAGGAAATGTTCAGCCTGTGTATGGACCATTTGTGATCATAAGCCAGTGGCTTCTTTTTTTATTTAAAAGTTATTGCTGTTTAATATATAATATACAACTATTAAACAACCTTTTCCTCTCCTGGACCCAGCCTTTGCCATAAATCTACCCTCTTCCCCTAGCCCTAAAAAGAAGGGGGGGGGGAAGCGAGGGAGAAGGGGGGAAAATATAAGAAAGAAAGAAAGAAAGAAAGAAAGAAAGAAAGAAAGAAAGAAAGAAATGCAACAGAAGGGAAAAGAAGCAAAGGAGATGGGGAGTAAATCTTACCCAAACAAATAAAATGAGGTTTATATCGAGGTTTCATAAGGGTCTTGATGGCGGGCTTTTAATGTGGCATCTCACTCAAACGCTTGGTGGAAGAGCTCCGTCTTGCAGGCCTATGCAGGATTTTAATAAATATTAAATGCCACTTTTTCCTTTACTGGAAGATCCATTGGTTCTTCTGTCCAAGTTTCTATATGTGGTGGAATTATAGCTTTTCAGTATTTCAGGATAGGAAGCTAGCAGTAACAGCAGTCCATAAAACAGAGAGTATCTGGCCCAAGGAGAGTTTCCACATTCAAGGTATATGGCCTAAGTATAGGTTGATAGCTGAGAACTGAAAAGAGGACGCCAGGACAAAGTTAGTCGGTTTCCCTGCTTCTCATCAGAATGGTACAATGACAGTGCAAGTCCTTAACCTATAGAAACAGTGTCCCTTCACGTGCAGCATCCCTCCAGGTGCAGCACATTTCTAGCAATTATTGTGGTCCACAAGACCAAATTTGTAGGATCTATCTGGGTTTCTGTGAGCTAGCAGGATTATTTTGTGTGTGTGTGTGTGTGTGTAAATTGTAATCTCAGATCCAAAAAGGTTGGAGAACAAGGTCCATTAGTAAACACTTGTGCATTTAGATCTTTGTACAAAATGTTTATCAGTTTTATAAATTCTAAGGGCAGTCCCATCTCTCCTTATATATAATTGAGTAGTGAACATTCTAAATTTGGCCCCTTTAGTGTTTGGCCGGAAGAACTGCCACTCAGAAGACGCTGGCTGGGTTGACTGGCTGCTTTGTGCAGTCCCACCCAGCATTTCAAGGTCTTTTGCATGTGGAAGCTGATTGGACTTCACTCCATTCCACACCTCAAACTCCCCACCCCCCGCAAGGCAGTTGGCATTTTCAGT